GGGGGGGGGGGAGGAGTTAAACTTGATTCAATGGCATGTCCTTTTCTCAGTTAATTTTCCCTTAGTGACTCAAGATAATCATTATAAAATTAAATTACAGTGTCAGAGACTTTTATAGGATAGCTACTTCACTAAAATGTTTCTAAACTCTACATGTCAGGCAGTAGGAATAATAATAATGTTAGCTAAGGTTTAGTCCATCCTTCTTACAAGCCAGGCATTGTTCATAGCATCACAGTGTGTAAATCATTTAATTCTCCTTACAAATCTATAAAGCAGGTACTATTATTATATTCCAATTTTTAGATGAGGAAACTAAGGTTTGGAGAGTTAAATAACTTTCTGTATGTCCCACAGCTACAAAATGACTCTGGCAGAATTTGGACAGTCTACGAACTGGTATTTTGGTTTTGCTTTATTTCCTCTTATAACTTCAGTGCTGCTACATCAAATTTAATCTCCATATTCCGCAAATAATTATTTGTGTAAGAAACCAAATTTCCTCAGCGCTATTTTTTGTTTCTTAGCAGAACTATGTTATACTTCACTTGGTTGGATAGAAGGTAAGTGTTGGATCACTATATTTTCATGAATGAGAATTTCAGACTGAAAGGACTTGACGGAGGCCAAACGTCTCCCTTTACGCCTGAAGAAACCAAGGCACAAAAACTAAATGATCCATCTTAAATACCCTTTGCATTGGTAGAAGAGCGGGGCTTCCCACACCAAACTCTTGGTTTCTAAATTTGCTTTTTTTCTCATTTATTATGCTATTTTACCACAGGATAAAAGAGATGTTTATTACAGCAGAATATTAATTTTGACTCTCCCTTTGTCTTGGAGTAGACTGAGTAAGGCTACAGCTTATAGTCCTAAAATTTTCCTTTACTGTTCCAAAGACATCTAGCTTAAGGTAAGTGAAGACTAAAATATAGCTCTTCTGTTAGCTGCTTTACCTGGAATAAGGGCCTCTTTTTCTTTATCTATCACAAAGGTACCACCTGCTAGTCAGGACTTTTTTGGGGAAGTGGAAGGTGGAGAGGGAAGGTGTTAGATGCCAGAGTGATTCCACCCTAACTCAAACAAAGCATTTTATAGGCTGGCAGCAGAACTGGCACTAAAGCTTCGCAGCTGAGTAGAAAATGGGTGATAAATGCTGACAATCTCAAAATAGGTGTCATTTACACACCTTTTCAGTAGTTTTCAATCTCTCAGCCATTCTACACTGGGTCCTATGTCATTTATTTTTTTCCTCTCTGTAGATCACACCCACAATGCCACTTCCTCCAACTTTATTGAAAACAAACCTCTATTCCTCCTCTATCCCTTCCAACTTCCATCCCAATGTCTTAACAGGCTTTTACTCCCCCTCACTCCATTGAAACAGCTCTCATCCAAAGTCTCCAACGACATCATCACTAGACCCAATGTTCATTTCTCAGATCCTCATCTTATTTGCCTGGTCCAGCAACATTTAACACAGGTGATCACTTCTTCCTCCTTGATATACTTTCTCTGCTTCCTTACTAGTATAACTGAATGGTTTTCCTCCTAACTTTCCTGGCGCTCCTTCACAATCACTATTGCTATTCCTTACCTCTCTAACCTCTCAATATTGCCCGTCCTCAGGGCTCAATTCATGGGCCTCTTCTCCTTTCTACTTACATCTACTCTTTGCTCTATGCTTTCTTGCCATTTCCTTCCCTCTTTCTGCTTATAAAGCAGAAGCGGACTTAAAAGCATAAACCCAAAGTAGAGTTACTAAAATCAAGTAAAACCTTGTTTTAAAATCCTAAAGTTTAAGTAAGGCCCTGGCCAGGTGGCTCAGGTGGTTGGAGCATTGACCCATACACCAAAAAAAGGTTGCTGATTCGATTTTGGTCAGGGCACATACCTGGGTTGTGGGTTTGATCCCTAGTTGGGGCATGTACAGAAGGTAACTAATCAATGTTTCTTTCTCACAATGATGTTTCTGTTTCTCTGTCTCTCTCTCTCCTTCCTTCCCTCTCTTCCCCGCTCCCTCCCTCCTTCCCTCTCTCCTGTGCTCAGGTGAGGATCAAAAAAATTAAAAAATTAAGAATATAAAACAGCAAAAGGCTCACTAAGAAATTCAAGAATGCATTAATCTATGTGACATTAAAGAGCTCTATTGGCATTATTGGAATATTGAAATAA